ATTGGACAAAGAGGCCATTTCTTGTCTAGAAATGAGGAACCTAGCTTTGGCGTACCATGCTTTGATAAAGACTGGGTACTCAACCGTGGCCATGCCTGTGGTTTCCCATCCTTGGGCCAAGACTGGGAGACCCAGTTTTGGCAATGCTTGTGTTTGACCATCCGTTGCCCATGACAAGGCAACCGAGCCTTGACCTTACATGGGGTTTCCCAGTTATGGACCAAGACTGGAAAGCCCAGCTTCGGCCATTCATTGGCTAGCTACAATTGGGCCAAGAATGGGAAACCCAGCTTTGGCCATGCCTGTAGTTACCCATCAATGACCCAGGACTAGATAACCGAGCGTCGGCCTTACCTGTGGTTTCCCAGTTCTGGTCCAAGACTGGAAAACTCAGCTTCGGCCATTCATTGGCTAACCAGCCAAGAATAAGAGATCCACATTTGGCCATGCCTGTAGTTACCCATCCTTAGCCTAGGATTGGATAACGGAGCCTCGGCCTTACCTGTGGTTTCCCAGCTGTGGTAATTTGGCGTTACATTGTATATAGTTTAGTTAACAAATTTAGTGTGATATATTTTGTTTAGTACATCATTATCACTAAGCGAGGCGTGCGAGTAGTGGGTATTAATAAAAGATGAAATACCGGTTGTCCACATTAACGTTGAGAACTCACAAAAACAGTCGAACTATTTTCATATGCATATTTGTAGTTGAGTTTCTTTATTGTTAACCTTTAAATTGTACTTTTTGTTGCTACTTGATAGATTTCCTTATGTCTGATTCATATCTTAGAGTTGAAAGATCTCGTAAGTTAAATAAAACAAAAAAAGTTTTAAATACAGAAAGCATTTTAGGGGCATTTTAGGGGCCAAAGTGCCAAGTTCAAGCAATGAAACTTTTAAAAGCAGTGACGATTTTTGTTTTTTTTTTATGGAATTGGAAAGATCTTAAAAAGACACTAAGTAGCCCGTACTGCAAGGTAGTGTCCGATTTTTACAGACTAAAAAAACCACTTTCTTCTTTATCCTGGGGCATAGTGGAACCGTCATCAGGCATTACTTCGCTATGCGCTATCTTGTATTTTGTATTTTCTTTTTATTTTTTCTATTTTTTTATTGTCTTCTGATCAGCCCTATCCGTTGTACCACATTAACTCTTTCTTCTTTAATATTCTATCAATAATTTCGAATATTCTATGCCATATGTCTTTACCTGATCTCGTAGTTTCAATAATATTTTCTTTTGTTATTTGGAATCCAATGCTGTCTTTGACTTGTCTTCTTTTGTCCTCCCATTTCTGACATTGGAAAAATGTGTGTTCAGTCGTGTCTGTCTCTTTGCAATACATGCACTCATCTGTATCTGCTATTTTAATTTTAAAGTAATATTCCATAAAGCACTCATGGCCAGTTAATAATTGTGTCAAGTGGTAGTGGTCTTGCCCGATATCCCTTCTTATCATACAAATGGTTATATCAGGGAACAGGATTCGTGTCCATCTGCTGTTCTGTCTACTTCTCCATTGTTCTTGCCATCTTTGCAGCGTCCTATGTAATTTTTATTAATTGTTTCGCGTCTCTCTAGCGCTAGCAATTTTATGGGTATTACTTTGGATATTACTAAGCTACACTCTGTAGATATTGTCTTGTAACCATTGCACATTCTTACCGCCAAAGTAGTTCACTAACTCCCTTTGCTCTAGGTATTATTCGTGTCAGCGCCGCTGATGTTCGTTTAAATTTAGCTGTAACTCGTTCTAAATGTTGTCTAAAGTTTAAGTTCTGGTCAATCGTAACGCCTAGATAGTTAACATTTTTTTTTTTTTGTATAATCTGGACCCCTTTTAATTGGAAACTAATTGGTGTTTTCATTTTTTTCTTTTATATCAACAGTATGATCTTTTATCCACCAACTAATCATCTCTAGTACGTCATTTGTAGTTTCAGTTCTTTTTACGACTACCGCGTCTAAGTCATCAGCATATGCTACTAGCTCTGTCTGTTCTGGAGTTTTTATTTTTGGGATTCCATCATACAGTATGTTCCAAAACAGCGGTCCCAAAACCGAAGTCTGCGGTACTCCCCCAGCTATTTTATATTCCACAAGATCTTCATCTATAATATAGCGATTTTTAAAATAGCTTGCTATTACTGTGCGAATATACTTTGATATTTTCCGTCTTCTTAGCTCTTTCATTATATGCTTCCAAGAGGCTGTGTTAAAAGCATTTCTATTTTCTATAGTAACTAGCACACAACATCCTCTAGTTCTTTGGGTCTTTACCATTTCCAATTCGGCTATTTTTTAAACCTCTCTCATAACAGTAGATCGTTTCTTTCTAAAGCCAAACTGTCTATCTAACAGGTTTTTCTTGTTTTCCAGTTCCAACCTTAATCTTTCCGCCACTATATGTTCCAGAAGTTTTCCCATTGTATCCAATAGGCATAGTGGGCGATAGGAACTCGGATCTTCTTTGATCTTTCCAAGTTTCTGAATTATCACTAACCGGCCTTTCTTCCATGAATCAGGGAAGACGCCTTTTTCGAGGATATCTTCGTTATCTCTTGAGGAAATTGAACGGTTATCATTTTGACTATTTCTGACGGTATCCCGTCTGGGCCAGTGGCTTTGTTGTTCTTAAGCTTACGAGCTACGATTTTGCCTTCTTCTTCTCATATATTATTAATATGTTCCTCTTCTCCTTGTTTTGGAGGCCATGTTGTATTCCCTTGCTTTGGAGCAGTGTGGATTAGGTTATTTATCCCAGTGGTACATAACTATGTAATTTACAGACGTTTAACAATGATTTTGATAATAGTAATTCTAACGGTAGTAGTGATAGTGACGTGATGGTATGGATATATTTTTTTTTGTTATATAATTAATGACTTAATTCGGGCAACTACAAATAGTCCAGTCCTGGCAACCAAGCGTGGTGAATTCCTGGTAATTAAACATGGCACAGACTTGGCAATAACACACGGCCCAGCCTTTAAAATTAAGTTTGGGCCAGTCGTGGTAATCAATAATGGCCCAGTCTTGGCATTTAAGTATGACCCTACCATAACAATGAAGTCTGGACCAGTCTTGATAACCAAGTTTTTTTGAGTAATAAACATGTAATATTATTTTTATAAATTTCGTATTACCAAGAATAAATTAGACGTGTATGAGCTAATTAATTGAAGAAATTCTAAAGTTATTAAAATATTCACACTCGCATATTTTGGTTTTTATTAATATGACTACGTTCATGAGTTCTCGTGAATATTTGTGACATTTTCGGATTATTAGCTTAGTTAGGGACATTTAAATTAGTTGGTAGTACTTTGTCGAAAGACCAACGTCATTGACGACGAACAACGGAATTTGTATTAAAAATATAGTTGTTAACATAAAAAATAACAAAATATGAACTAAAAGTTTTTCTTTTATCTGTTAAGCAAAAATCATAATTTAAATAATTTTAATTTATAAAACACTTTCATTAATCCATATTACAAATCTATTTTTGCCTATATTTGAAACAATAAGAGTAACTTATAAATTGAAATTATACATTTACCTTCCCCTAAACTAATTTTACCAGCCTCATTATCTTTTACACTTTCGCTTTTCATCAAAAATCAATTTTCACTAATTACAGTTTTTTCTTTGTTTCAGGTTAGTTGTCCAGTTCTTTTAAAATTATAGCAACAAATGGTAAGAAAGGTTAATGGCACGTAATCGTTTCATTACAAAAATAACGATAGATGATTGAAACCATAAATTATTTTATAAATATACTTTCGGGAATTTTTTGGCAGACTTTACTTAATAATAGAAAAATATTTTGGCTAGCGTATTGTTGACTATTAATACAATAAGAAAGGTTTTTCTAACGTTACCGAAGATTGTTTGAATTTAAAACGGCATTAGGTAAAAGAGTTACCATTACAAATTAAAATAAAAACGTGGAAAGACTATTTTTCAGTCTGAAGCCGAATCTGTGTACATTTGCGAAAAACTATAGTTACTTAACTTATTTTACTTATTATTTTGTATTACGTCAATTGGACAATTACCTTTGAATTTGTACCCTTTGAGCAAAAATATATTTTCTACCCAGCAGTTTTTAACGAGTTGCAAGAATTGGTAATTCTATCAAAGGGAAATCAATTACAATCATTTTTAACAGTTGTTAAAATTCAGTAGCAGTTTAAACCTCATTTGCCACATTTGGGTGGTCTGGAAAAGTGCTGCCCATTCGGTAAAATATCATCTAATCTAAAAAGAATTATGAAAAACATTTACCTTTCATATGAAGATTTTTATAGTTTACTCACACAGATACAAGTCAATTTTGAATTCAAGGCCTCTTACTTCACTAACAGAATATCCGAATGATCTCCAACCTTTGACCCCAGGACAATATTGGCGAACCCTTTATTACTATCAATAAAACTTTATATTTGAAGACTGACAGAATGAAAATGATTTTATATCATTTAAATGAATCTATTTAACAAAAAAATGGTATTTATTTTCACCAGAACTGACTAGCTCTACTTCATCGAGTTTGACATATGACGTAAGAGTGTAAAGCAAAGGTGCGCGGACACTTTAGCATCGTCATAGCATCTCCTCTTTATTCTATCTCAGTGGGTTTAGCGGTAAATCGTGAAATTCATAACCTCGTATTTACATTCGCGCCAATTTTAAAAGCTTTACCTCGCATCTGTCAGTTATTGTTGTAGTTCGTGTTTTTAGCTGATAAGATGTTCAAAATAACTATAATTATAAATTACTTTTAAAAGAGTTGTTTTGAAGGTGTTGTTAGAAGTTCTTGTCTCATTTATTTTACAATAAATATATATTTCTTTGCCCCAAATAGCATGTTTTTCCAGGTGACACTTAATCCTGCATTTTTAAAAATTCAAATAGAATTAACACTAACGAGATACTGTACAAAACTGCTAATATAGTAATGTCCAACTAAGCAAGTAAGATAGTCACAAACCATGAACAAGAAACTGAATTTGACAAATATAAGTGATCTTAACAATAAGTCTTTTATCGAGCTTAACTTGGAACAGCTTCTGAGCCCTGAGAAAATTTCTGAAATAACTATAAACGCGGAGGTTGTATTCGAAAGTAGTTCGGAGCTAGGAATTCTTATGAGGTCTCCTGAAGAAATTGCAAATTTGGAAATCATGGAATCTACAATATTAGATCCTACCTTTGAAATTAACAATGTAAACAATGTAGAAGCCAGTTTGGATTAAAGCAATACTAATTCTCTCACGATAATACTTGAAGAAAACCTTTCTGATCCTAATTACGACGCCACTATGGAGCCCAACGACGCTGACCCATCTGAAGAAGGCATAGTCAAAGATAAATATTCAGATCAAGAACCGCAAGGGCAAGTATCAGAAGAGGATAACGATTTAGAAGATTAACCTACAAGTCAACATGTAAATAGAAAGCGTAAAGGGTACAGTAAAAGGACCATTAATAAAAAAAACTCAGACTGACGGGAAAAAGCTACTTGAAATTCACAAATCCCAAAAATTAAAAAAATACGTATCAAAACAGGAACCGTAATGAAAGAAAAATAAAAGAAATGTGTATGTGTTCTAATAAAGGGAAGGTAAATAGTACCATAAGAAAATGTTTTCTAAATTCAAGCGAGGCTCGAGAAAAGCTATTCAAAAAGTTTTAAGAAGATATGACTTGGAACCAGCAAAAAGTTTTTCTTGGAAATACCATCAAAATATGTGATTAAAAGAGGCCGGTCAAACTGTCTATAAGAAAATGTAGCTAAATACTCTTAGTCTCGGTCCTGGGCAATGAAGTCTGAAAATGGCATGATAAGTAGCGACCAAACTTAAATAAACAGAAGACAAGATATTTTTGAAAATAACAGTAAGTTTCTCACTGAGTTTCTTCAAAATTTAAACAAGCTTTCTTTAGACTATTGTCGAAAAGACACCAATAGAATGTACTTGCTATTATCTTCTCAATCATGGTGGGATTTATACCGAGTCTACAAGAGGAAATGTCAAGAAGAGGGGCAAAATCCAATGTCAGGTATCACTATGATTAAACTTGCTGACCAAATGAAAATCTTCATATTCCTGCCGAGAAAAGACTACTGTTATGTCTGTTTTGAGTATTTTTACCAATTTTGAAAAAACACTGTATCCCAGATTGGTTCAAAGCGTTTTCGGAATATTTACCATAGATAACAAATCCAGATTACTGAGTTTACCCGAGCCAGTTAGTTGCAGTTGAGGAAAAACCGGCAGACCGTTGAAATTTTCACAGAATCTGTATTTGTGTTATCGCTACAACAATTAATAAATATAAAAATAAATAAAAAATTAAACAACGCTAGCCTACTAGAATCGTGTTTTTTGGCTTTTCTTGCTCTTGTATGACGGTGCGGAACCCTTCATGCACAAGTCCGACTTGCACTTGGCTGGTTTTTCCTTAACTGCGACTTAACTGTCCTTGGTTTCATCATATTCTTTAATCTAATTCGGCTCGAAGACTAACTTTTATTTCTTTATTTAAATAATAATAGTAATTTTTAGTTGAAATGATATACACAGATTGTTTGTCTAAAAACGTCTGTTTATTTATGTATTTTTGTTTTTAATAGTTACATAAACATTTTCAAAACCATAGAAACATACATTAAAGATCTAAACTGATTCCTTAACACCGATTGTGTAGCTCTTATAGTAACTAAGAGAGCAATACATTTGGAACCAATTTAGGATAGTGTATATTCAAAAATAAAAAAATAAGACGAAAAACGTAAATTATTAAAATTTTCCTCTAAATCACTGACTGTGGTATATTTAAAATTTTTAATTTAAATTTAAATTGTTGTATTTTTCCAAGGTTATTTTGCAGTTTAGATTAAATACACCAAAAATTTGAAAAAAATTGCTCTAATTCAGACTAGCTAACCTTACAGAATAGATAAGAGGTGAATTCTACATATTGTGGATTTAATTGTTTAACTTAAAACCCTCCCAAAACTACCTAGTATAATTTTAACATATTCGAGTTTAAATACGTTACTGGAAAGGGTTTTCCATCATTGAATCCCACATACATTGGAATTCAAACTTTTTTTTACTTACCTACCTTTATTATAATTCTGTATTTGATAAAAACTCTAAACCAATACACTTGACTGTTATAGACCTTATAACTAATGTTTTATTCAAACAGTTCAAACAGTTATATATTATTAAAGAGGAAAGTTTAGATTTTTCCTGTTTATATTTCGTCAGTAATTCATTAGGAGTTCTGTCATAAGAAGATCAAAGTCAAATAAATATTCCACTGAAACGTTGGTTAATTAAGCATACAATTTTAGCGTGCCTGTTCAGAATTCAAATGGGTTTATTTTTATATATTTTGTGCTTTACGTTATGTGACAGAGAGAAATTGAAATATAGATTGAAATAAGCAGTTAATTATACAAATAATCAATATTTTAAATCATACATATTGATACATAATAAAATAGTTATTTATGTAACAAGTGTGTAAAGTTACCCTTTTTTGACGAATGTGAATGTTGTCGCACGAGCCGTAGGCGAGTGCGACAATCACATGAGTCAAAAAGGGACTTTACACACGAGTGGCATACAATATTTTTTCTACTACCGTACACATATTCCACTAATATTAGAAATATAAAAGTTACTTTTTTTCACTAGTGAAAAAAAGTACTTTACTTTACGCACTAGTGAAAAAAAGTAAAATGTGCCAAAAATTGTACACAGCAACAAAAATAAATTTATTGGAACTTTACAAATTTATAATTCTTACAAAACAAAATGACTAACAAATGAAGAAATATTTAAAAAAAAAGGTTTTTAACTCTTATGAATATTAATATTGAATGTGCAATTATTGCAATCACCAAAACTTAAGGTTTTGGCCTTTTCCAGCACAGAGTTTGAAAAATGTTTTGATATTACTTCTATAACCCTATTTTGAGCTTCGAGTGGTATGGATTTGGCCTTTTCAAGTAAAGAGGTTGAAATATTTTGTGTAACTCTAGTTTCACTGTCGAGTGGTTTCACTAAATCTTCATTAGAGTTGTCAACGGTAAAATTGTAGCTTTGTTTGGAAGTGGATGGCATACTGTCATCCATCAAAATTTTATTAGAAATTTTGTTTTTTCGTGTTATTGTGCTGTCTACGTAGCCTTCTGCAACCGCAGATGATTTCCATCCTCCATGTTTTTTGACCGTTAGAAGGTCTCCTCCAGAATTTGCCAGCATAGTGGCTGAAGACCTCCTAAAGCAGTGTCCTGTAAAAGCCGTTGGATTGGGCAAATTTAGATACGTTGCAATAACACTTGGCATTTTACCAAAAGTATTTATCCCTACAGGATGTTTAGAATATTTTTCATTTGCGAATTTTAAAAAAAATCTGTTACAATTTATATTTGATGGTCTTAATGAGGTATATTTTTTTATGAAAGATAAATAATCAACTGCAGAATTATTTGGATTTAAAATCGTAAAAATGCGTTCTATTCCATTTTTGGTTTCTGATACTTTGACGATATACACTGTTTGTTTATCTTCCACATCGTTAATTGTCATTTTACATAATTCTTCCCGGCGACAAGCTCCCGCAATTCCAATTATAAAAGCTACCTAAAAAATAACATATTGTAATGTTACAAATAATTTATTAAAAATTAGGAAATATCTTGACGTTGCGCATGTAAAACTCCAAATAAATGCTATTGTAAAAAATATAAAAGTTTTAAGTATAATGTGCTGCCTAACAACCCCGGTGGCCTGTTAGGACAGCAATTGATTTTGTTAGGCAACACACCATACGACCACACATCTCGTTGCAAAACTTTACAGAATATTTTAATTTTATACTGAGCATTCAAGCATTTACTGAGGCATTTACTTACTTTGATCATTAAAAACTTGGAATCTGGAGCTTTCAACAGAAAATTAATTAGATCTTCTCGTTCAAAAATTTTGGATTTTTTTGGTTTATAACCTTTATTTTTTTGTTTGAGAAACGCTATTAACTTGTTGAATTTCGAAATATCAACGTTGTTTTTATATTTTAAGGTGCTTTTAAGCATAGAATAAATCGACCATAGGGTAGAAGCTTTGCAAATATATGCAGATTTTTCTGGCAATAAATTTTCAGTGGCCTTTTGTGCACTGCATAAGATATCTGGGGAAGTATTATCAAATTCGCTATCGCTAGATAAATTTGAATCCATATCGATTATAACAGATATAATAAACTGCAAATAAAATTTGAATTTATGTAAACAAACATTAAAAAGTAAAACTTTTTACCTTCTCAAACTTGATTGAGTTTAAAAAAATGCTAAATTGGCTTTAGAATCTAATCTTGAACTTAAGTATACTTTTGTCGTGTTCTGTTATAAGGTAGGTACTAATTAAAAGTTTAGAGATTGACAGTTCTTCTAATCCACACAGCCACGGTCAACTTACTTTTACCAAAATCGACATCCACTGTATGTTTACTTTTAATTAAATCGATGACATTTAGAGAAAATTATAATTAATATAAACTGTTGATAATTTGTTGGACACTAAATAGATATAAGCAAAAATAATTTATTTATTTGTCTTAGATGGAGATAGCAAAAAAATGTTAATATAAAATAAAACGTTATATTTTGTTGTTTTGTACAAATTTTGTCAAATTTTACTTTTTTGAACTAGTGCGTAAAGAGTTTTACTTTACGCACTAGTGAAAAAAAGTACAACTTTACACACTTCGTGGAGTGCGTAAAGTACGTACTTTACGCACGGTAGTAGAAAAAATGTATATTATTTAAAAAAGTGATAAATAAAAGTACTAGAGAAAAAAATTTAATCGTGTTTGGGACTAAAATACCCAATTATTGAATGAAAACCAAAACCAACTTATTCAAATTTTACTGATTACAATAAGCGTTTCAACTTAACCAACAACAATTTTCTGTCTTTTTCATCCAACGACTGCATATCAACGAATCGCGTTCGTTCACGTCTCTCTCTTTTTACCCGATACGATGTTACGTGCCCAGTTCATTTACATTGTTGCCGATTATTTTTAAAGTTCAACGTATAAGAGTTTTCTAAACATTTCCCCCCATGATTGAAGAGAACTACAATCATTAACATTGTCCAGGAAGCAGACATAATTTAGAGATTGCCCGTTTAAATATCCCATTCATTGTTTTTACTTGAGCGACACGCACTTTCCCATCAGGTCCATATTATATCGTTTGCTAAGTTAGGAAACGAAGAATGTGACCTCTGCGAATCTTATCAGATGCACAATCCAGAGCATACAGCTAAGTCTTTAAAGGAAGAATACGAGAAATGCTGGAGTTTGAAAGAGCATATTGAGAAGGCAACAGAATCTCTTAAAATATACACTTTAAACAAAGAAAACTTCATTGAAGACAAAGATCATTTATGCGTGTCTGTTGACCTTCAGAAAGTAAGCATGTTACCAAGGATAGAAATGTTTAAAAAAAGCAATATATTCTCATCGTCTGATAGTCTACAATGAAAGCTTTGTTCCGTTTGTTGTTTTGTGGCATGAGGCCGTCAGTAAGAGACTTCAAGAAGATATTATCAGTGCTTTCAATGCATTTTTTCTCCACCATAGGGATGTTGAAAATACAGGGTGCCTCAAATAAGAGTGATCGATTTTAAATGTAAATGCACAGCTTATTAATTGCTTTAAAGAAATGGGGTTTTCACTAATTGATTTCGTTTATCCAAAAGTTTTTTTTAAAATTGTTCTTATTTATCACATCAATACAGGGTGATCCAATAATGTTGGTCAACTAGAATGTAAAAAAATATGTATTATTTTAAATGAAACACCCTGTATATTTTGATGGCATTCAAAAGGAGATTCATCTACTTTTTAAAAATGTGTAGTTTGATATCTTTTGTTTTCTTAACAACACAGATTTTCGAGTTTTTAAGTAACACTGCTGTTTTCTTTATTTAAAAACTGACATTAAATAAAATTAACATTAACATTTATAATGAGGATGTAAAAGTTACAATAAATGCTGTATGTGTCTACCCTCTTGTTCAATGCACATACGCAAGCGAAATTTTAAATTTTAAATTTTAAAACGATTTTTCTAACATATCTGGCGGAATATTTTCAATAATTAAATGATTGGGTTGAATTGAGGAATTGAGTAGTCAAGTGTATATATATATATATATATATATATATATATATATATATATATATATATAAATGTTTAATACAATTTGGCTAGCGCTTTCAACAAAACATTGTCATCTTCAGGCTGTCCTACAAAGTTTAAAATTTAATACGAGAAGTAAGGGTGAAAGAATTACCTTACGTCAATAGATATCTATCCAGAGATAAAATTTTTCCAATAACTGTGAGACTATTGTAGATATCTTTACAGAATTTGGTACACGTATACTATGCATTAAGATGCATTTTTTGATGTTCAAATTTATGTTTTCTACCAGTGGCGTCCATACCTACGGGGTTTGTATTGAATATTTTTGCAAAAAAAAATAGTATACCACGACTTCATTTTAAAACAAAAATTACTTTTGAAATCCTCATTTATTTGTAAACAAATTTAATCTCTTGAGTTTTTTCGTTCGATGCATAGTTTACGCTTTAAAAAATAATATAATATAATATAATATATAATATAATATAATATAATATAATATAATATAATATAATATAATATAATATAATATAATATAATATAATATAATATAATATAATATAATATAATATAATATAATATAATATAATATAATATAATATAATATAATATAATATAATATAATATAATATAATATAATATATAATATAATATAATATAATATAATATAATATAATATAATATAATATAATATAATATAATATAATATAATATATAATATAATATAATATAATATAATATAATATAATATAATATAATATAATAATATAATATAATATAATATAATATAATATAATATAATATAATATAATATAATATAATATAATATAATATAATATAATATAATATAATATAATATAATATAATATAATATAATATAATATAATATAATATAATATAATATAATATAATATAATATAATATAATATAATATAATATAATATAATATAATATAATATAATATAATATAATATAATATAATATAATATAATATAATATAATATAATATAATATAATATAATATAATATAATATAATATAATATAATATAATATAATATAATATAATATAATATAATATAATATAATATAATATAATATAATATAATATAATATAATATAATATAATATAATATAATATAATATAATATAATATAATATAATATAATATAATATAATATAATATAATATAATATAATATAATATAATATAATATAATATAATATAATATAATATAATATAATATAATATAATATAATATAATATAATATAATATAATATAATATAATATAATATAATATAATATAATATAATATAATATAATATAATATAATATAATATAATATAATATAATATAATATAATATAATATAATATAATATAATATAATATAATATAATATAATATAATATAATATAATATAATATAATATAATATAATATAATATAATATAATATAATATAATATAATATAATATAATATAATATAATATAATATAATATAATATAATATAATATAATATAATATAATATAATATAATATAATATAATATAATATAATATAATATAATATAATATAATATAATATAATATAATATAATATAATATAATATAATATAATATAATATAATATAATATAATATAATATAATATAATATAATATAATATAATATAATATAATATAATATAATATAATATAATATAATATAATATAATATAATATAATATAATATAATATAATATAATATAATATAATATAATATAATATAATATAATATAATATAATATAATATAATATAATATAATATAATATAATATAATATAATATAATATAATATAATATAATATAATATAATATAATATAATATAATATAATATAATATAATATAATATAATATAATATAATATAATATAATATAATATAATATAATATAATATAATATAATATAATATAATATAATATAATATAATATAATATAATATAATATAATATAATATAATATAATATAATATAATATAATATAATATAATATAATATAATATAATATAATATAATATAATATAATATAATATAATATAATATAATATAATATAATATAATATAATATAATATAATATAATATAATATAATATAATATAATATAATATAATATAATATAATATAATATAATATAATATAATATAATATAATATAATATAATATAATATAATATAATATAATATAATATAATATAATATAATATAATATAATATAATATAATATAATATAATATAATATAATATAATATAATATAATATAATATAATATAATATAATATAATATAATATAATATAATATAATATAATATAATATAATATAATATAATATAATATAATATAATATAATATAATATAATATAATATAATATAATATAATATAATATAATATAATATAATATAATATAATATAATATAATATAATATAATATAATATAATATAATATAATATAATATAATATAATATAATATAATATAATATAATATAATATAATATAATATAATATAATATAATATAATATAATATAATATAATATAATATAATATAATATAATATAATATAATATAATATAATATAATATAATATAATATAATATAATATAATATAATATAATATAATATAATATAATATAATATAATATAATATAATATAATATAATATAATATAATATAATATAATATAATATAATATAATATAATATAATATAATATAATATAATATAATATAATATAATATAATATAATATAATATAATATAATATAATATAATATAATATAATATAATATAATATAATATAATATAATATAATATAATATAATATAATATAATATAATATAATATAATATAATATAATATAATATAATATAATATAATATAATATAATATAATATAATATAATATAATATAATATAATATAATATAATATAATATAATATAATATAATATAATATAATATAATATAATATAATATAATATAATATAATATAATATAATATAATATAATATAATATAATATAATATAATATAATATAATATAATATCCGTTTTATTTCAGAGTTATATTGCTAAAATGTACAATTGTACATGCAGAGCAAGCCTTGCAAACAACCGAGAGGTTTCCATGGTAGCGGAATCAGTCATGACAGTTTATTTAAAAAAAAAAGATCATGGTTTTTGTCATTTAAAAATGTATGTATGTATGTAATAATTTATTGTCTATTATTGTGTTCAAAATGTACGAATATACCAATGCAGAAATGGCAGACATTCATTTCGTCTACGGAATGGCTCACGGTAATGCACAAGCTGCAAAATAATGTATCAAGCCCGATTTCCTCAACGGGTGGTTCCACATGTCCAAACTTTAATTAATATTCACGCAAGACTTTGTGAAACTGGCAGCTTTAAAAGAACAATTGATATCCCAGGAAGGCCTGCGACAGTTCGAACAGTTGAAATTGAAGAAGCTGTGTTAAATAGAATTGAAGAAGACCCGCAAATTGAATATTTCGCATACAATTGTGTGGCAAATTCTAAAATCTCAACAACTTTATCCTTATCATATTCAACGTGTACAGGCATTACTACCTAGAGATTTTCCTCTCAGAGTAGATTTCTGCGTTTGGCTGCGAAATAAATTATTAACAACCCCAAATTTCTTAGGCCATGTACTTGTTACAGACGAAACTTCTCTTTCTCGAAACGCCATCATGAACTTCCACAACAACCATGTCTGGTCTGAGGATAATCCCAATAATTTCCAAGATCGATTTTCTCTAAATATTTGGGTCGGAATTATCGGGGATCACCTTATTGGACTTTACATTCTTCCACAAAGGCTAAATGGCCAAGAGTACAGAAGATTTTTGGAGCACGATCTTCCTGAACATTTAGAAGAAATTGATTTGGCTACCAAAAACAGGATGTGGTTCATGCCCGATGGCGCACCGGCACACTTTTGTTTGGCTGCACGTCAATTTCTGAACGAGAATTATCCTAATCGTTGGATAGGAAGAGCGGGACCGCAAGCCTGGCCTCCCAGATCACCAGATTTAAATCCTCTAGATTTTTTCTGTGGGGTCACTTAAAGACACTAGTTTACAAAACATCCGTTCAAAATGAGCAAGATCTAAGAAACAGGATATTTGAATCGTATGCCATTATAAATCAGACATCAGGTATATTCGAAAGAGTACGTCAATCAATGTTAAGGCGAATTGACGCATGCGTTGCAGTAGGCGGCGGGCATTTTCAGCAATTGTAAATGTTATTAACTTATTTGTAAAAGTAGTTTAGTCTT